TATTTTTCCTCAAAAATACCTTTTATTTGAAAATTATTATGTATTAAAACCCTACTATCCAATTGTTCAACAATAAGTGCAGATGAACCTAGAAAATAGGATTTTACACTTCGGTTTCAAGATTTGAGCAAAATTAGGGTTTCGCGATTTTTTCGCCGGATGACTTTTCGGTACTGGCCAAGGATCAATTTGATGATTAAAAGTAACTTTTAAGTGAGAAATAATATGTGACTAGGAGCAATGATATAAGGTTAGTTAATGGGAAGTAAAAACCCTAGTACGTGAGTTTTTAAGAAAAACGGCGCGAACCGGCGGGTCCCGCGCACTACCTATTGAACGCACCACTTGACCACCATTTTTTTTACCAAACAAGCTTATTGACTTTTGCACAAAATATCTTCCTAATTTGCAGCTGGTTTGACCGAAATTATGAGGCTAGAAATGTAAGGGAAAGAAAGAAAAAATGGAAGATAGTGGTGGCACCTTAAGGCTTCTTGACCAAGACTTAGTCTTTCCATTTAAACACCAAAATTCAGCAACTTTCCTCTTCATTTTTGCTGCTGCTGGCCGAGAGGAAGGAGAAGAAAAACACTAAGGGAAAACACTCCATTTCCTTCTTGATTTGCTTCAACCCAAGTAACAAATCCAATTCTAAACCGATTAAAGTACTAAGTGTGAGTTGGGAAGCTTGAGGAACCAAGAAATATCAAAGGGGGTGAAGGATCACTCTACCAAGCCTTGCTTTTGAGGTACCAACATTTGATCATGATCTTTGTTGCTTTGAATCTTGCTTTAAGATGTGTTTTTAGCTTAAGTTTTGGCTTGATTTCATGATTATGCAAGTGGGTGTGATGAATTTGGAAGTTTTCCCCTTTTATATGATGAAATAGGGCTTGAGGAATTTCTGCCCAATTTGTTGTATGATGCTTGTATGTTGCAATTGAGGTTGTATAAGGTGTTTTGGTAGTTATTAGAACAAGAAAATTGAGAAAGTTCCATTGATTACAAAAAATTCCAGAATCTGGAAAATTTTTCCCAACATTCTGTCTGAATTTGTAACCCTATCATAGAGGCCGAATTGGCCTTCGGTTAAAGAATGAAAGTTGTAGAGAATGATATTTTATAGGTGCCTACAAAATTTCAGCTCAATCGGAGCAACGTAGGTCGTGAAAAGTCCAAAATACCCTTACTGTTTTAAGTTTTTCCTCAGTAGTCCGTTTCTTCAGTTTGTCCAGTTTATTACGTTTTTTCACTAGAATGCGTACTGATTTAGCTTTTAACCAAAACATGAAAGTTGTAGTACTCTGACTTAGCTTTAAAATGCCTCTAAGAACACCTGAATCAGACTTGTGTACTCTGAGATATGACCATTACAGTGTAAGGCGGTTAATCAGCCGACAAATTGGATTTTGGTTCTGTAATTTAAGGATTTGACTAAGTTACATTAGGAACTGGACTAAGTGACCTTCATGAACATTGCAACCCTATATCTTAGTTTCGAAACGGCATAGGTTGCGCCTCAATCCGATAAGCGTAGCCTCGGATATGTTATTTCCGCATTCATACGTCAAATCTGTCTTGTGCTAAATTGTATTTCTGCACTTGCTATTATTGTAATTCTTATACTTATGATATTGTAAGCCTATGGAACGACTTTTGACTTGAATTGCTGATATGTATGATGTTGGGTTTTGGTTGAGGAAAAATAATGAAACCTAAATGGCTGAAAAATTAGGTAAACACAAAGGGCATGCTGCCCGAATTTTTACTCGAGAACTAGAAAACTATATTTGCGACTTGAGTATAGGTTAAGTGATTATCACTTGAACTAGCAAGTACCTCTGCTACTTATTTGTCGAGAGTTATACGTTAGGACATGGCCGAACTTGTACCCTTGAGGAAAAGCCTAATGACCAATGTAAACTTGAATTTCCTTGAGCTTTCAACTCAAGTGTTATTTCCAAGCATCTATGTTACAAAACCTTATGATTTGAAAAGCGAGCAAATGTTTCACGAGTGTCTTTCAAATGAATTTCAATTGATCGATTCTTAATGAACGGAACGTTTAAGTTTCGAATCCTACTCGTGTTTCAAAGTTCTCAAACTGAAATTTTATCGCAGATTTGGACTCCAAATCCGGAGTACCACCTCGATGCGAGAACTAGAAGCACTATTGTGGTGAGTGCTTCCAAATATCCAATTGTACTTGATACATGTGTTCCTTACTTGACTTATATGATTACATGAAAATGAATGATAGGGCAAGGGTGTACTTTACCGCACTTGCCCTAATATGACTTGTTCTTGCTATTGATCGTACTTGACTTGTTGTACATGTACTTGAAATATGTTTTGCCTGGAATTCCAGAAACCCTGTGGCTAGTTAATCGAGTCGAGCCAGCAAGGGCCTGGTCGATTAGATAACAAACCCTGGATCACTTGTAATGTCGAGTGGAGTGTTATCTAAATTGCTAAAGCTAAATTTGTATAAGTAATTCAAGGAAATATTAAGCTAAAATAGTTTATGTTAATATAAATATTAAAGTCAAATATATTAAATTATTACCATAATACTGCAATATAGAACTTGAAACAATAGATATTAAATATCTCTAAAAATTTAAACATAAAAACAATTTTTTAAAAAATAAACCACTTAATTAATATCAAGTTTAAGGTGGCAACTGGCAAGGACCTAATATCAAGGTTTTCATGGGGGATTTTTGGGGGGAGGGGCGGTGGGACTTGAGGGTCGAGAACTTAATATATATACAATTTATCAAAAAAAAAAATAGCTGTCCAAATTAAATTCTTCAAACTTTTGGCGGGTAATTTCCCTTGTCACACTCCCCCCCCCCCCCACAACAAACCCTTAGTTTTGTCAAGTCGATCCAATAATTGGCTATACTTAAATTTCTAGAAAGAGGAACTTTCACATTTGTAAATTTAGTGTGTTTTAGTTAACATTTTAAAGTTGGTATATTAGTTAATATTCTAGATTTGTTACTCAAAAAAGGTAAATTAGAAACGAAAGAAACTTTTTATATAGCTGTAAAACAAACATAATGTCCATATATTTCTTTTCTTTTGATTAGGGAAAAGATAAGATTGACTGAAAGAGATCGTTCTCTTGATAAAAAGTTTACACAAACTTTCACTAGTGCATTATTCTTCATTTGTTTGGCGGGTATCGGGTTGGGGGGAGGGGGAGGGGAAAAGAAAATGGGTTAATTACATTTACCTCTCCTGAGGTTTGATCATATTACCAATCAATCCCTGTAATTTATCCAAATAACGGTCTCACCCTTTGAATGATCAAACATTTAACAAAAACCCCCTTAATGCCGAAAATGCCCTTATTGAGGCCATGTTGCATTAAAAAAAGAACATATTTTTATTTTATTAACCCTGAAGCAATCCAAAAAAAATAGAAAAAAATTTTTGCTTATTATTTTATAAAAATCATATCTTTGCTTCCATAAATAGTTTTGAATCAATAATTATTTTAAATCTTAAAAATGAATATTAAAAATTAGATAAATTGAAAGAAAAAAAAAAGAAGAAATTATTTTAATTCCTGGAGTATGGTTCAAATTGAGAAAAACATGCCTTGTGCTCTCCGCAACATGCCTTGAACCACAAATTCGAACCATACTTGAGGATTTAAAATAATTGCTTTTTTTTTATTTTTCTTTCAATTTATCTAATTTTTAATATTTATTTTTAAGATTTAAAATAATTATTGATTCAAAACTATTTATGGAAGCAAAGATATGATTTTTATAAAATAATAAGCAAAAACTTTTTTCTATTTTTTTGGATGCGGTTAATAAAATAAAAATATGTTCTTTTTTTAATGCAACATGTCCTCAATAAGGGCATTAAGGCATTAAGGGGATTTTTGTTAAATGTTTGATCATTCAAAGGGTGAGACCGTTATTTGGACAAATTATAGGGATTGATTGGTAATATGGTCAAACCTCAGGGGAGGTAAATGTAATTAACCCAAAGAAAATACAAATGCTTCCTTGCATGGTGTAAATAGAAAACACACACACACACACGTACGCGCGTGCACACACATAGATATATGTATCTATTATGTATGTATATAAGCATGTAGACAACTTAATGGTTTTGTTTGAAAAACCATACATGATATCTCGTGAAGTGTTACCTCATTCAACAGGTATAATCCATATGCTTCTTAAGAGACTAGGCATTTGGGTGGACAATATCAGAAAATTGTTACTATGCTGTAAGAACAAAAGAAAGCTGCAGATTTCTCGAATGCTAAATGTTGTTCAGTGGTTAATAATCATGTTTTAAAAAAAACTGATATCGCGTTCAACGATTTTTTTAAAAATATTTAAAGGACAAAAAAAAAAAAAAACCTTTACCATGGGGTCAATGGTAGGAAAAGCTCATGGAGCACTCCTGAACAAAACTAACGCGAAGCAAAAGTAGATACTATTAGATTTCTATACTTTATTTTATTACTAAGACTTATGTGCCCTGCCGATTGAAAAAGCTAACCCAAAAAGGAAAAAAAAAGCACTTTGTAGCTTGGAATTTATCATCATTTGTATTATTATTCATGTAAAATATATAGCTATTCCAAATTTATGCTAGTAGTCATATGGATGTTAACAGGTAGTTAATGGATAGTGAAGTTAGAAAGGAGAGGCTGCTAAAGGCTTCTCTCCAATAACTAATACTAGCATAACGTGGATGACAAAGGTTACTCTGCCTGAGGAAGTTAAATTAAAAACAAGGATTTTTCAAACTGCATAATTTGACAATCTGGGAATTAAAAAGTGAAAGGAGGAAAAACGGGATTAAAAGAAAAAAGAAATAACCTGTGGTTGGTTTCCTGAACAGAAAGATCCTATTATAATGCGATTCAATTTGGCACAAGGGAAATTGAGGTTTACTTTGTATAGGATCCAGACCATAACTAGTACCCATAGAACTCAATGGTGCCATAATGCAAAATACGATTTTTTTTTTTTTTTTGTCAGGGTAAATCTAATGCAAATAACATCAGATGCTTTGTGCCCACCTATCATATTGGGCATTTCTATTGAATGCACTAAAGGGAAAAACTTAACATAATGCCAAATTTCTGCATGTGCTTTGTGCGAAAAAAAGGAAAAGACAAACGTTCAGACTTACCGTCACCGATTGCCAAATTAAGTCAATGTGCGTTATCTAAATAGCAGTAAACCTGACATGAAGATAGAACAAAATTAGAAAAGGGACAAGAAAAGTTTCAGTCACAAGGATCCTTTACAAGCTCACCATGAAATTGCTATTTGTCTAATTCCTCTCCAACTATAATCCCTGCAAAAAGATTGGCTAAACACACAGTCCTCTGTGATATTTTGCTATTCATTTCATTATCAACCGAGGAAACTAAAGGGTATGAAGAAACAAATACCATTAAAACCTAGATACCGACGGATTCATAAATTAGTCCTGCTTTTAGTCCACCTCCATATCAGAAATTGCTTCATTTAAGATCTTTTGAAGTTCCTTCAGTCTCTGTCTTGTTAATGCAACGCAATCCTGCAGTTGTGAACTTCGTCAGCAGTTTCTCATGGTGTAAGGAAAGAGGATGAATATGCAGGTGGGAGGGATAGCCATAATAAATGAGTAGAAAGCTAAACATTTTTCCATGCTACAGAAACATTATGGAATCTTATCACCCGTCTCAAGGTTACAAGGTGATGTAACCTAACCTGAATAGCTGACGTGTGGGCAAGAACTGGGCCACCTGGTTTGTAAAGAGAAACCAATTGACTGGAGGAATCCAACACCACAGTCACAAGTGTCTCCATTATGGACTCTTCCTCTGCTGTAGGATCTGCCAGGATGTAATTCTTGTGAAGTACGCAAGTTAAGGAAAATGGTATTGTAGCCAACTTGAGCTTCCTTTTTTCTTTATTGACTGGCTCCTTCTCCAACTTCCCTCCCCCATTATCCTCAGAAACAAGCACAATTCTTCCCTCGTCATTCAGAGAAACTACAGGAATTTGCACTGCAAGCAACGGAATTCACGTAAGCAAGCAGGTAGTATGTGAACCTCAAGAATTACATAGCACAATCTTCTGCTATTATGATGGAATACCAGGAGCCTCAGTTTTGCCATCCAATCTAACTACAGAGATGAATAATCTCGTCTTTTAGTGAACACCAGCTCTATAAAAACCGACTTTTGTGCATATCAGAAGGTGTGAAGATGAAGAGTAGGTAAGAGCAAAACAATTGCAGGAGATGGTGAAAACCTTCATCCCAAGGCTACTATATTTAAGGACCCTATTCTAGGTGAGCAAACAAAAAATATCAAGGAGAACCAGGACTTGGCAATAAAATGTATAAAATCTGACCAACACTGAGTGCGGGCAAGCTGGCTATATTTCAAGGAACAAAAGAATTAGGAGGATTAAAACCTACACATATGGCAGTGTCTATCATGATTAAACTAAATTCCTCACACAACCAAACCACCAATTGAAGTTGACAAACATGAAAGACAAAAAAAAAAAAAAAAGTTGAGTGAACACATCAAGCAAGAGTAGTTTCCCATTATTACTCATTCAGATATTCTCTTGCGTCATTAATCTACTGGGCTGAAAAATTTTGATAAGTAATCAAGAGATAAACTTACAATGTGAAAAGGCAGCAACTGCAGAAAGCAATGCAGCATCAAAAAGGGAACCATCAGCATCCAAACAATATATGTCCTATGCCATCATAAGTCGGTAAAATAAGTAAGCGGTTATATCCACTGAAACCACAAGTCTGAGAAAACACTTCGTCAAGGAAATCACAACAAAGTTCAGTTCAACACAAAAGTAATTAAAGGGACTAAAAACAAAGGTTATGTAACAGTTGCAGCTCAAAATTCATTACCAAGTAAGCCATCCAAGCAGCTTTCCCACTGACCAAAGACAATTCTTTCAAATCAATCATGCCAGAACTATAAAATATTCAACCAAACAATCAGCAAAGACAAGAAAATAGATATCCAGAAACAGAATGCATGAAGATGTAAGAGGTATGGCACTCTGTATAAGGTAGAAAATGCAAAAGATTCTAATGTTAACAAAAGAAATGTTCAACAATGCACTGAAATATTAATCACCAAGTTTAATTGCTTGACTTTTTCCACAAATACCTAAGCTTGCAATTTACAGTGTATAAGACCTCTTGCAATCTCTAATGGATTACAAGAGAAAATGCATTTTTACCCTTGCAATTCAAAATCAATTATCCAATAGTACGTATAAACTAGGTTAAAATAGGAAGTAGTTCATCAATTAGAAAAGAAGTTGATTGCAGGTATGAAGGTGTTGGCATGACTTGCCTCAAAATAGTGTCAGATAACTGCTTTGCCACAACTGGAGCAGCGTCTGCTGGCCTCCCAGGCCGAACGATAGGAGAACATATTGGGGGCATATGAAAATCTATAGCTGTATAAAATTACATGTTTAAGTATTCAATTAACCATAAAAGATTAAGGATGATAAGAGGCTACAAGGAGAACCTATGCATCCCTCATCTGGTGACTCCACTGTAGGGGTCATAACCTCCAATTTAATGGCAGCCAACATGGTCTAAGCATCAAACAAGTGATATGTGTTAGATTCTACGTCAAAAACCTAAACTGCAAGAAAATAAAATGACATGATAGCACTGTGGCATAAGAACGTACTGTGCAGCCTATCTTTGTTAGTGCAGATCCATTTGCCGATGTAACAGCTCCTACAACAAAACCAATTGCAATTAGGTGAAAATAGTAATATCCGCAAATCTTAAAAAGCTTTACGCAAGTAAAACCTGGACTAACCAAGGGATATGATTGTATCTCTAGCTTTTCCAAGGGTCCTGCCATCAGGTCTAATAGATTTAAGCAGATGGCGCTCATGAAAACACAGAGGGAAAAGACGTCTAAAAGCATCCACCTCCATTTCTGAAGATAAATCAGAGCCACTGGCAGCAGCCATGCTGTTTCTAACCCGGCTGGTTGCCTGCAGAGAACCTCAGCCCTTAGGAAGCTGTTTACTTATATGAAAAGGGCCTACCTTTTCCATCTATCTGTAAGTAAAAAATGCACTAACAACAACACATTCTCCGAATAGGAAATAGAAAACCTAAAGGATTTCAAAGGTGACAAATTATCAGCAGTTGAGTGCTGGAAATAGAATCATAATCCGTTATGAAACTAGATTTATTTGGTTCTAAGGCAAAGATGAATAAAACAACAGACCGTTGAACAATCTTATAGAATCTTGATCAATAAGAACCAATCTTCTCATGTCAAAAGCGATAAAATTTTCTAAACTAGCAAAAGATCATGCATTTGGACAGATCTTAAGAAAGAAAATAATAGTGAAAAACACATGTTCAAATATTATTGCACTCATACCACTGCCTTCCACATGTCTAGCACTATTCTAATGACATGACTAGCTAGCATGCAAAAATTTCTTAAATCTCCAGCCTTGTGTATGATAATGGATAATATTTGTGAATACCAAAGCCTAAAGTTTTAGCTTGGCTTTCCAACAAGATGGACAGTGCAGGGGAAAAAAGAAAGTTAACCAAATTAGGACAGGTGATTATTGGAAAACAATGCCTTCAATGTCTAAGGAAACAAACACATCAAGTAGAAAAAGAAGCCCAGCAAAGAGTTCCAATGTATTTTTGACAAATAAAAAAAGAAAAATACATAGATATCAATAGTTGACAACTCTCTCCATCTCAATAGTGTATGATCTAGCCTATGGCTTTAACAAAGCATGTATTGTTATGAACAATTTTTTACGTTAACAGAAATCATCCTTATCCACTAAACTTTGAATATAAGCCTATATGTAAACTCATTTATAATTTTGTCATATTGAATTAAATCTTTTGTTTATCTTGGTTGCAGCAATTTTAAAAACTATATCTTCGTGTACAATCATTGTTAAATTCTAAGACAAAATGCCTTATGATGTAACAGTTCCTATGTTTCCAACTTTTCTAATGCTTATTACACCCCATTTCTAATGCTTATCTCTTCAGGAATAGACAAAAATTTAGACCATAATTAATCACCCCATTTCCTTCATGATGTCTTTACTTCCTTTTCTGTTTATTTGTTTCTAGATGTCGAATTCCTAATAGTTTTGGCTTTGGGATCTTGAATGTAATAGTGAAATTTTCACCAAAATATCTGTATCAGTCAAGCTTTTGGATTATTAATCACAGCAGAAATCAGGTTATGGTATTTTAAAGTCAAAAACAAATATCTCTATCTGTATAAAATCTTTAAACAGCTTTGCTGCAGCATTTCAGTTTTTCACACTTGCATTGCCATTTCAATTACAAATAAGCAGTGCACAATTTCATGGGAACACACTTACACAGGGAAACCCTGTTCTAGACTGTATTATATTTGGCTTCCTAGATGTGCTTAATCTAGTGTGAGATTTCTTAGCTCTGTTCTGATATTGCAGAAATTGCAGTTGTGGGGGAAAAACCTATAAAGGGAGAAAAAGAGAAAGATAAAAGGTGTAATTCAAAGTACAATCAACTGCACACTTTGGATAGCACTGGTGCTGAGAAAACTTTTGTGCAACTTCAAAGGCCAAATTGCTGCAGGACAAAATATTGTGAGAAAGAGGCTCTCTCTAATTTCCAGGCAAGACCTAACTGAGTTAAAAAATGAACTTATTTTTTTTTACAAATTCCAACTTACAACTATAGGGAAAAAAATCTCCATCAAAATCTAAAGACAGTAACTTGATTGGGATGATGGAGACAATCAATCAATCAATCTATATATATATATATATATATATATATATAGAAAGATTCCGTTATGAAACTGTTGGATTTACCAACTTTTGTCATACATACACAGAGAGAGAGAGAGAGAGAGAGAGGTGTAATTCAATGTGCAATCAACTACACACTTTGAACAACATTGGTGGATAAAAAACCTTTCTGTAACTTCCAAGGCCAAATTCCTGCAGGACAAAATATTGTGATGAAAGAGACCCTCCCAAGTTTCTAGGCAAGGCCTAACTGAGTTGAAAAATGAAGTTATTTTGATTTACAAATTCCAACATCCAAGATCCTTTATTTCCTAGTTCAACTCTAATGTTGCACAACTTGCAAGCACAGGGAAAAAGTCTCTGTCCAAATCTAAAGCCAGTTGATTGAGATCATGGACACAACAATCTATATATGTAGATAGAGATTATTTGCAATCAATTCAGGACTTGCCTTCATAAACAGAGACAAAAAATATTTTGTTCTTCTTGCAGCCAGCATACAGTGTCCAGAAAGAGAGAGACAGATTAGAGATTAATTCAAAGGGCAATCAACTACACTTTGAACAGGAATGCTACTTAGTAAACTTTTCTGCAACTTAGAAGGCCAAATTCACTAACTACACATAAATTCCATCACTCCTCCAGGGGAGCAAAACAATACTGAATTTCTGATGCAATGCAATCACCAAGTAGAAAGACATCAATCATATTAAAACAGATTTGCCTGCCAAGAGTCAAAGGGCAATCAACTACACACTTTAAACAGGAACCATACTTAGAAAGACAGATAAGACATGTAATTCAAAGGGCAATCAAGTACACATTTTGGACAGGAATGCTACTTAGATAACTTTTCAACAATTTAGAAGGCCAAATTCACTAACTACACACAACTTCCATCACTCCTCTAGTGGAGCAATGGTTCACGCCTTTGTTTTCCAGCCTTATGGATTTCCATAAATTGGTTGGCAAGTAGTGGAATTTGTCTAGTGCTCAATTAAATCAGTTGCTGAACCTGTGGCTAAAAGCAAGTGGTTTAGGCATCTGTTCTTACTTATTGTGTCTGTCCTATGAGAATGGAGAAATGACGAAGCAGCTGGAATTTGAATGGCAATGAATATCTACCAACAAGATTTGGCAACATACGACACATCCAAAAAAAACAAAGAGAGAGAAAGAGACGGTCATCATGCTGATGACTCTGTAACAATGAAAAGAAAGTGGACAATCACTTAGTACTAAAAGGCACAGAACTAAAAGGTGTTGAGGTGAGTCCCTCAACTTTGCCGAACCTTTCAAGTCTGAAGATTACACAAACCAAAACAACTATGCATATTACAATGAACCCTCTTCTGATGTATTTGTTTCACTTTGATTCAATCATTGTCTACTCCATACCTTGTACGCTTAAAAATAAATAGAATATGAATAGCACATGAACTAGAAAAACTCTGCATATTAGTAACACACAAGGCTGCTTTATTAACTATATCACCAAATCAAAGACTTAAAAAAAATCAGAACAAAGTATAAATAAATTCTGAGCTGCTTGAAATACCAACAAATAAAAGCCAAAAACAATAAAAAAACACAACCCAACTTAACAGTCAAATACTGACCTCCAAAAAACCACCACCAAGAAAAGAAAAAACTTGGGTCCAGAGGCACAAATAATACAACTTTAGAGAACAATTCAAAGCCTTGAAAAGCCAATCAAAAGTCAGTTGCATATTTCCACCAAAATTTGTTAGTTGCAGGATCATAAAAGCTTACAAAGAGGAAGCATTTGATACATATGAAAAATACTTATAAGCCACAAAATGAAGATACTTGGATTGAGATTATGTTGACAAAGAATAATATAAAAGACCCAGATTTTTCCTTATCCGACGCCATTCATAAGCATAACTTGCTTATTAACCACCAATCAAATTTGCTATTACCAAAAATCAAAATGTGATAAGAAATTTTCTATACAATCACAGATATTTTAGGAAAATACAATAAAGAGGGAGAGAACAGAAACCTGAAGAAATTATAAACCTCAGCTTGTGGATAACTCTGATGAACACCCTCAGTTGACTGGATTAGGAAAACAGGGACAAATTGAACTCCTACAAAACCATACAAACTAAACAACCAGAAACAAAATCAAGAAAGACCTTACTGGAATTTTCTAAACCAAAGAATTGCAGAAATTTTAGGAAAATATAATAAAGAGGGAGGGAACAGAAACCTGAAGAGATTATAAATCTCATCTCTTGGATAACTCTGATGAACACCCTCACTTGACTGAATTAGGAAAACAGGGACAAATTAACTCCTAGAAAACCAGAAGAGGAAAAAGCATGACTGACAAGTTACAAACTAAACAACCAGAGGAGAATCAAATACACAGAATTTAATAATTGCACACAAATATATTACTGTGGGGTTTACCGGACCTGCATTCAATTGTGTAAAAGAGATGAGGGGAAGGAAGGAAAAGCTGAAGTCTGCTACTAAGTGAAACCAATGGCAAACAAAAGAAAAAGAATAGAAGACTTCACCATTTACCACCCACTACCACTTCAACTCATTAAAAAACAATTAAAAACTGACACATGCCTACAAGAAGATATTGTGTGTACCGTGTTAGGTGACTGAATGACCAATAAAACGCCAGAAAATAAGCACTTCAAGGACCAAAAAGGGCCAGCAATCATCCCTACAAGGAGACAATTAGGATGGTGGTCTTTTGTTTTTTTTTTTTTTTTGTCAAATTTAAAATGGTGGTTAAGGTGAGGAATCTATGTTCGAGAACTTGAGAATGCAAGGGAAGCAGTGTGGTGATGAAACCGTCAGGGAGTTTTAGAGTTTTAGAAAGTCTGGTGGAGAAAACAATAATATTGAAGAAGCAGAAACCACGAATCGTTTTGCCACACCTCTTTCACATGGCATTTGTTGGCAAGATGAAAGAAGCTTAAACGACCAAAAAAGCAGTTAAATCCATCCAAAATACAAAATAACCGGATGGATGGCACTAATCAATCACAAGACAACAAGGGGACAATCAATTGAATTCAATTCCAATCTCAATTGCAAGCTTCCATCTTTAGTATAGTAAGATATGACATTGTTTCATACTTTGGATTCATATATGCATCTAAATAGCATGCCAACTCGAGAGTACATGAAAAAGAAGTTAGAGGACAGTTCAAAGTAGCAAGTAACCAATTTAATTTCATTCCATAATCACAACTTAGAAAGATGCTTTCTTATGAATAATAGAGTAAATGTTACAAAGTATGATTAGCTAATAGTCAGATAAACTAGAAGTCAAATCAAGAAAATGCTAATTAAGAGTTTAAAGGGGGGGGGGGAAGAAGTTGTCCTCTATCATGGCTACCCTTCTGATCATAGTTCTCAAGGCAGAAGTCCAGTAAAATCCTTACACATTCATGGTATACACTAACTTATCGGTGTGCTTCACTTACGGTAGTAGCACTGTTAAACAATACTAAAACATATCCTACAAACTGTAGTTGGGGTCACAAGAAAGGTAAAGTGGAAGAACAGCAATTTTACACCGATACTACAATCAAAATCACAGTCAGACTAATATTAAAAAGAATTTTCTCCAATTAACATCCTTTACATAAGGATATGCTATAACTGCAAATGAGCATAACTAGTATTATTTTGCACTCAGAAAAAATATTTTGGGAACTGCATACAAAACAGTTGGGTCATTGTATCCATCTAAATAAGATTGACTAGATAACGCATCATTCTTGTCTAACCATCTTTCTTTAGTTCAGCTCTTGTTCAGCAATTAATCTCCCAAAAAGTGGAAGCAAGAGTATAGTAAACATTAAACCCCTGAATCACAATGAACAGAATATGCATGTGCACGAGCCAAATGATAAATAATTTCACACAATTACAGCAGTAAATGGATAAACAACTTTCCTCATGAAATTTCCATGACAATTTATCAAATTTCAGTCCAAAAAAAAAGAAAGAAATCCATTTTTTACACAAGAAAAAATTTCACTAAACCTTGCAACTACATGTCCGCTACCTTGCAACTACATGTCCGCTACTCATCTACATTCTTAATTAAATCCCAATCACCATTTGCCAATTCCCTCTCCACCCAGCACCACTTACTTAACCCGCTATTTTCCTCACCTGCAACCACTCACCACTATACTTGCACCATAATCACCTCCTACCTCTCTTCCACTCCACACTCGAACCCACTGGAACTCTTTCTCTTGTACAAGACAAAGTCAGGTTGAAAGAGAAGATGATAAAGGCCATAACTAAACAATACCCAAAAAATTGGGAAGAAATTTTAGACAAAAATAAAATAAGGAGAAAAAGAAGAGACATGGAAAAAGGACCTCCTGTAGAGACTCGCTGGACAACTTCGGTTCAGCGTCGGACAGACGTGAATCGATCGACAGAGACAAGGGAAAATGTACTTTTGGTGTCTATATTTATAACAAAGGGTTTTTCAAATTTGACCCTCGCCATATTTTTTGTTTACTAATTCCCCCCTTTACTTATCTTGTACTTAAAATTTCAATCAAAATTTTTAGTTTTAATTTTTAGTTGAAGTATAATTTTACAAATAGATCACTCATTACTACTTTTTCTAACATTGTTTGTGAAAAAATTTGTGACAATATTTTATTAAATTCATATGAGTGGTGAAATTCTTATGAGTTTGTTTGGATTGTAAATTATTTACGAAATTTTATTGCTTGTATTATTAACATATTTTTCAAATTTTTTAGGGAAAATTGCCAATTTAGTCCTCAAACTATTATACTAAAGCCGATTTGGTCCCTCAACGTTTTATTGCACGAATTAAGTCCCTTAACTAAAATCATTGTGCCAATTAAGGACCTATACGGCGTCGCCACCCAAAACATATGTATCTGTACAGAAACCGACGGCGAGGCAGGGGCAAATTTGGAAGTACACATCCTAATTTCTACGGGAAGCAAGACAGATCCCATTTTGCATCTGAATTGGGGGAAACCTGTGAAATTAGGGGTTTTCCAACACAAAACCCATTTTGCATCCAAAATAGCAGGCAAAATTTGGGGCTTGAAACCGATTCAAAAATTCAAGGTTACAACTAAAATGTCTTCAAGTTCATCCTTTGAAGTGCATAACAGATGGAGAAATTTGGATGCCGGATCGTCCAGCTCAGCTACAAATCGATCTTCAAGGAAGGGGGCCTATGGAAGTTCACATTTTGGAGGATCTAGCCCAGGAAAAGCTGAATACTACAATGGAGACGAAATCGTGAAGTGCCATTGCCAAGAATCCTGCAGAATAGTGTCTTCTTGGACTGCAGCAAATCCGTCAAGAAGGTTCCATGGATGTCGAAATTACGGTGTAATGAGACCACCCAAATGCTTAAATTTTAATAATCTCTGTAATGGTTAGGGTGTATTTATTTAAGTGTTTTATTACTAATGATGGATTAATTTTGAATGCAGACTGCTCATTGTTGCAAATTTTTTTTATGGTACGATCCGCCCTTGCCGGAGTATACAAAGAACACGATTTCTAAATTGTTAAGGGAACTAAGGAAAGCCGAAGGAGACAACAAGGAAATGAGGATAGAAATTCAAAGGTTGAGAAAAAAGGCCCAGATGTTGATGTTGGCACTGATAGGAGGTTGCATCTTATTAATGGCAGTATGGGTTCACAATGCAAGAAGAAAGCCTGTGGCACTAGGACTCAAAATGTTGCATTATAAATAGCGTAGTTGCAAGGCCAAGTTGGTGTGCAATGTAATGTTCTTTGTGTATTGTCGTACCTTTGTTTATTCTTCTTGTTGTGATGGAGAAATTTATCAGATATGATCTACTCTGCTGGTTTGCTTCTTGATTGGAATTGGGTTCACCACCACTTGCAAACAGTCAATTCCTTTGAGTGTTGTAAAAATTTCTAAAACAAATGCTTATCTCATATGCTTATCTCAATAGGCACTCTTAATTTTTTTTTATCAGAACGATTCAAAAGGAAATTACTATTCACATTTTCATTTTAGTTTCTTGCATTCCAGTTCAGTTAATAAATAATAATGCCTTCAAGGAATACTAAAGGGTAATTGAGAAGTGAAAATATCACCTCTTATTCAAAATGAATTGTTATTGACTTTGTGTAGCCGAAATGCTACTACAAGCATATCCTCCGGGCTCCATGTAAGAAAAAGAAAGCATGCCGGGACCCTTTTCTCTTTATTTTGGGAGGCTAAAAATTTATATATCTATATATATATATAAATATTTAAAAAAAAAAAGAAGCATCGTGATTATTGAGGTGGTCCTCCATCCTTTGAAACTAAAAGTAAACATTCTAGACATGGAAAATTTTGAGATCAGCTAGCCCCTTTTATTGAATGTCAAGTCAATTTTCTTGGCCCCATAGTTGCTGGTTATCATAACATTATATTGTGTTAAAATGTTTCAAAAAATTTCGACATAGTTTTGCCTTAAAAATGAACAATCTCACCTGCCAACCAAACAACCATTTTGATACATACACAATATATAAAAGTAAAAACATGAATACATGTGGTCAGGTACATTTCCAGCCAGTACCAAAAGCATTCGTTCACTAAAGAAGCCAATTGTAACTTAACAAAAGCTTGCCCACAATTATAGGTTCAGCCATGCTAACAAAAGCTATACAACAGCACCATAAATTTCAGTCATGCTCTATCATCTTATATGGGCTGACCCTCAGCACAAAATTAACAAAAGCTATACAAAATTTACTTGACCCAAAGAACAAAAGCACCAATTTTTTAATTCAGTCATGGTCTAAGTGGAGCTTCTTCATCGCACATGCATGGCTAGTCAAGTTGTGTTATTCCTGGTTGACTGCCATCATCTGGTTCATCTAAGAGTCTATGAGCCTGCATATAATAAAAAATAACAGGTGAATGCAATGACTTAAGCAGCAAAGCAAATGTTAAGTTCATATTGATGCTAAAAAGCCTACTTTCTGCTTGGTTCTTCGTTTTTTTCCAACCGATTCAACGTACGGACCATAAGTATCCATTCTTGCCTTCCTTAATCTCCAACCTTGTGCTTGTATAGTTGGACATGTCTTTTTGTTATGCCCAACTTTTCGACAGAAGTAGCATTTGATTTTCTTCTTCGGTTCAACAACTTCAGCGGAATGTGTACTTGAAACTACAAAGCAAGAAATGAAAAAAATATTGAATTTAAGTATGTCCTCAAATTCACTGAAACATAACTTTTCGCAGATTAACCATATGCCATCAAATTTATTTACCATTTTCTTCATGAACAACAGCTTGTATGTCCATATGGCAGCCTTCATCTGGTTGTTGTTTATCCGCTACAGGTTGTTCATCCATTGGTTGTGCTTGTTGATATGGGAAAAATTTAAAAAGTTAGACAAAACAGCAAAGGTTGTTAGCAATATTTTGGCGGAATAGCAGTGTTTAAAAATATGTAAAAGATGACATATACCAGCCTGGCTATGGTCTAAGTCAGCCCCTACAACATCAGAGTGGCCCTCGGGATGAATAGTTGGACATGTTCTTCGATTGTGACCATACCGCTGACATTTGCTGCATTTGTTGCTGCTGAGAGAAGGACCCCTTCCAGTGCCATGGCCAACTAAATGCTCAGCTGGTATAACCAATGGACATTTCCTTGCCGTATGTCCCTTTTCATGACATTTTGAGCAACTTAGTATACCTCCAGCTTTTGACAGTTTAGTCACTCCATTATTGCTCTTTCGAGGTTCATCTGGTTCCCTCCTCCTTGCTTTTTTTGGCCTACCAGGAAGTCTCAACTTCTTTGGTGATAGGATCGGGATCTTGCCAGAATCCCTCCAAGCATTAGGTCCCGGTAATGGAGCAATAGCTGGCTCGTACGCGGCCAAATATGCCTCTCTCAAGTAGCAGCTATGCACGTAGTCCTCTGGTGTGGCATTTATTAGTGGAATACAGCAAACTGCATGGCAACAGGGCAATCCCGTGAGCTCCCACTTTCTACACGTGCATGTGCGTCTTTCGAGGTCAACCACATAGGTTCCACCGTAGATATGCTGCACTTCGAATCTTTTGTCGTCTGAGTGTCTAGCAATATTGGAGGCAGCCTCATTTTTTGCCTTTTCAAGCTTTTTTTGAATCTTTGGACATATTACATCAGTCCTCTTTTTCATCCATTCCCTTTTTCTCTCTAGCTTCCAAGATCACAACATTGAAACTCTCACAAAGGTTATTAAGTAGGATATCGCACTTAGTTGTTTCTGTAAAATGTGATCTTGACCATTGTCTTGGATTTGTATTGTCCACCAGCCACTTATGAGCATTGTAGTCATACTCTTTTAAAGCATCCATCTCACTCTCAAATTTGCGCATGTATGATGACCTTGCACAAGCCCAAAATCTTGCTTTTATTGTTTCACCTGGATGCGACTTTTTCATGTTATTGTGTAGATGCCTTACACAATGCCGATGCTCCACACCCGGAGTGACTTCATGAATGGCAGACCCCAATCCCTGTTAAGGGTGTAACCATCAATTTTTTTTTTAAAAAAATACGTATTATATTATCATTAACTGCAACTTAGGTAATCCAAAAAACAAGAAGATTGTAATTACCTTTTGTCTATCACTGATGAAAGTCCATGTTTCTTGTTCATGAATGCACAAGTCATGTTTCAAAAACTCCACGAACCACTTCCATGAGCTCTTATTCTCAATTTCAACTACTGCATATGCAATGGGGTAGATACAGTCGTTGGCATCAATCCCAACAGCAGTCAACAATACTCCTGGATGTGGACCCCTCAAGTAGCAACCATCTAAACCAATCAATTGTCGACAACCAGCTTTGAAACCTTTTTTCAATGCTTCAAAGCATATGTATATCCTTTGAAATCTTTCCTTACCACTTATATCATCAACCGTTGTCTCCATATGTATCGTTGAGCCAGGATTGCAATTTAACAACTCTTCGCAGTAATCCCACAGCTTTGTGTATTGTTGTTTGTAACTGCCATAGATCAAAAGCTTTGCTTTCATGAAGGTCTTACTCACTTGGTCTCTTGTGATATTCACATTTAGCTCTAAGTGCACCTTCTTCTTAAATTCTGTGACACTCACTTTCTTATTTAATCTAAGAAAGTCCATATAGTGTCTACTTAGAAAACCTGAATTGGCACGCTTGTGATGAAAAGTCCTACCACAATTGCAAGATGGTCCCATGGTTCTAATAACAAAAACGTCACTATCAACCTCTTTTGAAGCATAAATGAACCAGCCACAATTTGCACTATTGCATTTAGCTCGCATTCTAGACGCGTCATTTTTACCCCACCTAAAATGTTTACCCCATTTAACTCCATAATAATCAACAGCTTGTTTAAATATCCGTTTATCATCAAACAACAGCCCAACAAAGAAT